AAATGATGATTGTGAAGCTTGGCTGAGGTGGTGGAGTCAGAGGGTGGAATATTTCCCAGGGAATGCCTTACTGCTAAATGATGAACTAGCACTCAGCTGAGCCCTCAAGGGTTAACACATTGTTGTTACTGTAGCCTCACACTTTACAAGACAGCATGAATGGAGGGAGGAGACACAGCATGGCAGAGATAGACAAAGACACACACCATGTGCGTGTGTGAGAGAGAGAGAGAGACGTGCATTGCCCCTTTAAGTACGCTGACCCCACTAAGTACACTGCCTTTTTAAGTAGATCAGCAAGTTGAGACCGCAGCTGCTGCCAGGAAGCTCCCTCTGTCCTGAGTCCTGTCATATCCCGTCCCCCCCACTCTATGGAGATGGGGTACAGGAGGGGGGGAGGGGACACCCTGACATTAGCACCCTTCTTTCCCCCCTGCACAGCAACCAGGAGGCTCCCGGGAGCAGCTCCAAGGCAGAGGGCAGGAGCAGCATACGGTATTGTGGGGAGGGACAGCTGAACTGCCCGGCAATTGATAGCCTGCTGGGCGGCTGCTGCACAAGGAACTTAGGGGAGTTGACAGGGGGCTGCTGGTCCACCCTGGTTCCAAGCGCCCCCCCTGTCTCCCCACTCATTCCAACGGCCTGCTCTTTCTGCAAGCAGGGGGCAAAGCAGGTGGCTGCCAAAAAATGTTATAAGGGAGCATTGCGCAACTTTAAACAAGCATGTTCTCTAATTGATCAACAATGTAACAATGAAAAAACGTTAACCCGGGATGACGTTAACTGAGGAGTTACTGTAACTAGAATACTAAGGGTAAATACTAAACTACAACAACTATTTTACAAAGAAATGTTCATGAGACACACTGAACTAAGCGAAAGCTAGCCGAAGCAACAGAAGTTCCAGCACTGGTGGCAAGAAGGAACTGAGGGTGGGGGAAGCCGGCAGTGCCCCTTACACCATGCCATGCGGGAGCAACTCCAGAGGGCGCAAGAGCCAGTCCCCTACGGATACTGCTAAGGGAAAAACTTCTGGCACCGGTGCTTGTGGTGAGCCCTCACCTAATATGGAATGAACATGAGCAAGCACTCAAAGAAGAATACTTCTGTCATGACTGCAGGGGACTAGACTAGAGGACCTCTTGAGGTCTACTGCAGTCCCACAATTCTATGACTCTATAATGGGTCAGACCAATGGTCCATCTAGCCCAGTATGCTGTCTTCTGACAATGGCCAATGTCAGGTGATTCAGAGGGAATGAATAGAACAGGCAATCAAGTGATCCATCCTGTCATAGAATCATAGAATATCAGGATTGGAAGGGATCTCACAGAAGGTCATCTAGTCCAACCCTCTGCTCAAAGCAAGACCAATCCCCAGACTTTTGCCCCAGATCCCTAAATGGCCCCCTCAAGGATTGAACTCACAACTCTGGGTTTAGCAGGCCAATGCTCAAACCACTGAGCTATCCCTCCCCCCATTAACTCCGAGCTTCTGGCAAACAAAGGCTAAGGATACTCAGAGCATGCTGTTGCATCCCTGCTGCTCCTGGCTAATAGCCATTGATGGACTTATCTATGAATTTATCTAGTTCTTTTTTGAACCCTGTTATAGTTTTGGCCTTCACAACATTCCCTGGCAATGGGTTCCACAAGTTGACTATGTGTTGTGTGAAGAACTATTTCCTTTTGTTTGTTTTAAATCTGCTGCCTATTAATTTCATTTGGTGACCCCTAGTTCTTGTGTTATGAGAAGGAGCGAATAACACTTCCTTATTTACTTTCTCCATACAAGTCATGATTTTATAGACCTCTATCAGATTCCCCCCTAGTCATCTCTTTTCCAAATTGAAAAGTCCCAGTCTTATTAATCTTGCCTCATATGGAAGCTGTTCCATAACCCTAATGATTTTTGTTGCCCTTCTGTGTACCTTTTCCAATTCCAAAATATCTTTTTTGAGAGGGGGCAACCAGATCTGCAAGCAGTATTCAAGATGTAGGCATACCATGGACTTATATAGAGGCATTATGATATTTTCTGTCTTATTATCTATCCCTTTCCTAATGGTTCCTAACATTTGGTTAGCTTTTTTGACTGCCGCTGCACATTGAGTGGATTTTTCAGAGAACTATCCACAATTAATCCAAGATCTCTGAGTGGCAACAGCTAATTTAAACTTTGTATTAATCAACACTGAATTTCATCTTCCATTTCCTTGCCCAGTCACAATCAATTTGTATACGATTAATGTGAATCTCTATTATGGTGTTTTTTAAAAGGTTCTGTGCAGCTTACGGATATTTCACTTTGGGGACTGTACCTTTTAATTTCTGTTTAACTAGCTTCCTCATTTTTGTGTAATTCCCCTTTCTGAAATTAAATGCTACTGTAGTGGGGTTCTTTGGTGTTTTACGGCCCACAGGGATGTTAAATTTAATTACATTATGGTCACTATTACCAAGTAGTTCAGCTATAGTCACCTCTTGGACCAGATCCTGTACTCCACTTAGGACTAAATCAAGAATTACCTCTCCCTTTGTGGGTTCCAGGACTAGTTGCTCCAAGAAGCAGTCTTTAAGGTATCAAGAAACTTTATCTCTGCATCCCATCCAGTCAATATGAGGATAGTTGAAATCCCTCATTATTACTGAGTTTTTTATAGCCTCTCTAACCTCTCTGAGCATTTCACAGTCATCCTCACCATCCTCATCAGGTGGTCGGTAGTATGTCCCTAGTGCTATAATCTTATTATTCAAGCATAGAATTTCTATCCAGAGAGATTCTATTGTACTGTTTGGTTCATTTAAGATGTTTACTATATTTGATTCTCTGCTTTCTTTCACATATACAGTTTCTACTCCTCCACCAGCACGACCTATTCTGTCATTCCTATATATATTCTACCCCGGTATTACCGTGTCCTCTTGATTATCATTCCACCAAGTTTCTGTGATGCCTATTCTATCAATATCCTCATTTAATACAAGGCACTCAAATTCATCAATCTTAGTATATAGACTTCTAGCATTTTCATATAAGCACTTATAAAATTTGTCACTTTTTCAGCTATCTGCCATTACGTGATGTAAATGAATGGGACTCTTTAACTTGATTGTTTCTCCCCTACGGAACGTCTCTGTCTGAACCACGTGCTCCTTCACAACTGTCGGCTTTCCTCCAGCCCTAAGTTTAAAAACTTCTTTATAACCTTTTAAATTTTACATGTCAGCAATCTGCTTATGTTTTGGTTTAGGAAGAGCCCATCCTTCCTATATAGCACGGGTCTCAAAGTCCCGGCCCGCGGGCCATCTGCAGCCCAAGAACCTCCCCACTGCGGCCCACGGAATCTTTTTAAAAAGTTCTTTCATCCGGCCCTTATGGCTGCCGGCCAAAGGAGGGAGAGGGAGGGGAGCGGGCAGGAGAGATTCACATGCCCCTCCCCCCCAACGTTGCTCCATCCTGCTCCTCCTGGGACCCTTCCAGGGGTTGAACTCGGCAACCTGTCACTCACCTCGGGCAGCTCAGCTCCCTGCAAGTGGTTCTCTATCCCTGCTGTTGCTGGCGGAGCTGCAGAGGAGAGACCCATGCAGCCACGCTGCCGGCACTGCCCCCCCCAGCTCCCATTGGCTGGGGGAGAGGGACAGATATACCATCACTAGTTGCTGGGCAGAGTCACACATGGAGGCAGCATCATTAGTTGCTGGGCAAAGTCAGCTGGGGCGGCATGAGGCCAAGGGAGTGAGGGAAAAGGGTGGGAAACAGGCTGGGAGGTGGCATGAACACCATCTTCAGTGACATTATTGGCCTGCTGTGAGGATTTGAGGACTGGCACTTGCCCTAAGGTAAACTGAGTTTGAGACCCTTGCTGTATAGGTTCCTCCTTTTCCAAAAGGTTCCCCAGTTCCTAATAAATCTAAACCCCTCCTCCCTACACCATTATCTCATCCATGCATTTAGACCCTGCAAGTTCTGCCCGTCTAACTGGCCCTGTCTGTAGAACTGGAAGCATTTCAGAGAATGCTATCATGGAAATCCTGGATTTCAATCTCTTACCTAGCAGCCTAAATTTGGCCTCCAGGACCTCTCTCCTACTTTCCCTATGTCATTGGTACCTATATGTACTACGACCACTGATTCCTCCCCAGCACTATACATAAGCCTGTCTAGACGTCTCAAGACATCTGCAACCTTCGCCCCGGCAAGCAATTCACCATGCGGTTCTTTCGGTCATCACAAACCCTGTTATTTATATTTCTAATGATCGAATCCCCCACTACTATTACAATGGGATGGAGGCTTCAGTGACAACGAAAAGGACTCAGGGGTTATTGCTGACTACCAACTGAATGTGAGCTTCCCAATGTTGTGAGCAAAGGGGCTGATGTGATTCTTGCATGTACAAATAGGGGAGAATATTGAATACGTAGACGGAGGTGATATTACCTTGAGTATACAGTACTGGTGAGACCACCACTGGAATACTTTGTCCAGTTCTGGTGTGCACACTTCAAAAAGGATGTTGAAAAATTTTAAAGGGCTCAGAATAAAACTAAAAAATGATTCATGGTCTGGAAAGCCTGCCTTACAATAAAAAATGAAAGTAGCTCAACTACTTAGCTTATTGAAGATTAAGAGGCTACTTGACTATGGTCCATAATTGCCTACACAGGAAGAAGATACTTGATAGAGGTCTCTGACTGCTAAAAGTAAAGGTATAAAAAGATCCAGTGGCTGGAAACTGAAGTCATCATAGTTCAGACTGGAAATAAGACGTTAATTTTTAAAACGCTAAGGTAACTAATCATTGGAACAGATTACCAAGAGATGTGGCAAATTCTACATTACTAGGAATCTTTAAATCAAGACTGGATCTCTCTCTAAAAGGCTAGATCAGCCACAAATTATTGTGATAGATGCAGGAAGTCACTGGGTGAGACTGTATGGCCCATTATACTGGAGATCAAACTGGATGATTATAAAGATATTTTCTGGCCTTTATACCTATGGATCTGTGAACAGAAAGATACAGTCCCATCCCAAAAGATAACAATATAGCCTTAGATATATTTAAATGTAGTAACTGAAAAAAATCAGTGAGGTAACTATTTACGTTCAAAGATTTCATTCTGAAAGTTTATATAGGGTGACATTGTTCAAACTTAATTATTTGTGTAAGATGCTCCTTGTCTAAAAATCTTTCATATTTGCTTAGCCTCCGCAAGGTCACAGCACTGACTTTAATCCACAGTCATGTTTTCCACAAGCATATACCAACAGATGTAGTTTAAACCATGTATTTACTTATGTGTTAGCCCCAAGGGACTAAATTCTCAAAGCCTTACACAAAACGTGTATGCATCTGTGTATGCACTCAGACATGCAGTTTTGAGTAAAACTGTGGAATTTTGCTCAGCCTCTCTCCTTGAATTAGGCTTTGAAAATTTAGTTTCAGACTGCCAGCAAATACCTATTAGAGGTAGGAATTCTATCACTGCCACCAAATCCAAATTCATACAGTGTGATGTTATCTCAGAAATACCACTTCACGACAACACTGTGAAATCAAGTCAGCATTCTTCTTTGGAACTTGACCCATCCAGGATGGATTTCAGAAACAAAAGCATATGGTAGAGCCCAGACTCCAAAGGATTCAGTGGAATAAAAACCACTCACAGGCTCTTTCAACTACATAATCAAGTTTTCAAAACATATTTGACTTATTTCTATCCAGATCAGCTCATCTATGCTCCCCTTTTCACCAGCTCTTTCTTTTAAGAAGTCTTAATTTGCTCATTTTCTTTTGTTTGGCTGAACGGCTGCTTGACTCTAAGTCAAGCTCTATTTCAATTACTGGTACTTTAACTTTATAGAGCACCCAGATATGTTGTGGCAGGTTTCTGTATATCTCTATTTACCACACAAAAACAACGATGATGGGCACCCAAGAAATGTGTATTGCATACTTTTAAATGTGTGTGTATGTATATGTGCAAACATATAATTTCTATAATTACATTAATACAGATTGCTTTTATAACTGATGTGACATCAAAATCTCAAGCAATTTTAATGCCTTACTTTGTAGGACGTGGAACTTAATAGGTGAGCAATATTCTGAACTGCTCCATGGTTAAACAAGATTGTCTGATGATCTGGACCCTATAAAGAAAAAAAAGGAGTATTTATTCTTTTAAAAAACGAATGTGGAAGAGGCTTCCTGTTAACTATAACTTCAGTAAGTACTAAAATGCAGGTTTTCCTGCCATTCTTTGCTTTGTACATTGGAAATATGCTAGTTTCTTTACCATCTGAAGCTAACTTTCTGTTACATCTATTGAGCTTGACCTACTTATTGATAGTCATTTTCATTCTCATTCTTGGCAGGAAATACCAAAACTAGAGAGATTAGGAGTAGAGTGAGTGAAGATATTTCAATTTAATAGATGAAGGATGAATTCTACAATAATTGACAATGGGGATTTTATTTTTCATAGCTGATGTAGGGCTATTGGCAAAATACTGTTTCAATCTTTGCAATATTGTATAAGATTCTCAATCATCTGCAACACCTCTTCCCCATTGCTAATCCCATGCATTTTCAGCATAACAACCCCAGAAAAGATAGCAAGAAACCAATTCTAAAGCTGTTCCCATATATCAGAATGTGCATCAACTGATAGTGTGGCGAGAGCAGTGTCTCACTCCTACACTAGTAACTCCTACACATGAAATCTAGATTTAAAAACTTTTTTATAATACTATTTCAAATATATCAACTGTAAAGACAGCACACCAACCTTAAGTACTTAAAGAGCTAGTAAAAATAAGTGTCTGAGGTGTTAAACATTTTTCAGTTTTCAAAATTTCAGTTTGAAATAAACTCAAGTCCAAATACTGACCACATGTCTCCTCTACAGTACAAAAGTCTCAAGATCTCTGTGATCTGGCCAGGCTCTATGGAAGCAGAGGAGAAATGGAACCCTCAGAGGACCTCCCACCCTCAGCAATCTCAGTGAATCCTAGGTGATCAGTGAGCCCTTCCTCCCCTGGAAGTTGAGTGCACGACTCTACTCCCACTGCCTCTTCCCATGACAACCCACCTTTGAGGGCAGGACCACCCCAACCTGCAGAACTGGCTGGCAACTTCAAAACAGAGATGTCAGATGGGGATGATGGGCCTCATCGAGACTGAGGACGTCTGGAGGAACAAGAACAACCCTGACAGACTCCTCCCTCCTCCCATTTCAGGGGATCCTTTTGTTCCCCATTCCTGGTTTACCCTATACCCCATGGTTGCTTGACAGGAGCTGCATGCCCTGAAGGCTATAGTGGTGTCTGCTTAGCTTTTTCATGGGAAGAGAAGGGCAGGACCCCAGTCATCACACAGGCTCCCTGCCCCTTTTTAATAGCTCTATGTATCCATTCCTGTGGAACAACTCTATGGCCCCTTGCACACCAATCTGATCATCCTCTGCACTGGTCAGGCTGGTGTACAATTCCTATAGGGGGGAGTAAAAGGACTAGTACTGTACTGCCCTTACAAATGTGTAAGAGTCAGGTTTTGGCCTACAGAGTTAAATTTCTAAATAGTGTCAGCAGCCGTGACAGCATGTGTCACCACAAACTACATAATTCCTACCAATAAAGTTCAGTACCCTACACACTAGAACAGGGGTAGGCAACCTATGGCACGCGTGTCGAAGGCAGCACGCGAGCTGATTTTCAGTGGCACTCACACTGCCCGGGTCCTGGCCACCAGTCCAGGCTGACAGCTGTCAGCAGCCGGACAGCATGTGTCACCACAAACTACATAATTCCCACCAATAAAGTTCAGTACCCTACACACTAGAACAGGGGTAGGCAACCTATGGCACGCGTGCCGAAGGCAGCACGCGAGCAGAGTTTCAGTGGCACTCACATTGCCCAGGTCCTGGCCACCGGTCCGGGGGGCTCTGCATTTTAATTTAATTTTAAATGAAGCTTCTTAAACATTTAAAAAACCTTATTTACTTTACATACAACAATAGCTTAGTTATATATTATAGACTTATAGAAAGAGACCTTCTAAAAACGTTAAAATGTATTAGTGGCACGCGAAACCTTAAATTAGAGTGAATAAATGAAGACTCGGCACCCCACTTCTGAAAGGTTGCCAACCCCTGCACTAGAATAAAATACATATCCCCAGTTTCTGCTTTGGAGCTTCCACATTGGTGTGATGTCTGCTCTGTGCACAGCTTCTGTAGCCATCTCATTGGTTTAAAGAGACAAAGGTGGGAAACAACAAATTTGAACTGCAAAACACTGCCTGATTTTCTTGATTGATTTGCAGCCTAAATGCTAATGGTCTTCCTGCCAGAATGAAAATTTCAGTATTCTGTTTCATACTTAAACCAACTTGGCATACATGAACAATCCTACACACCTCTGTGCATCTGACAATGGTAGAGACATTTCATTTTTAAGCTTTTGAGGAGTCATTTAAAAACAGTGATTTTTTTTAAAGGTATTATGTAAAATATTTTTAGTACACCGCTACCTCGATATAACGCGACCCGATATAACACGAATTCGGATATAACGCGGTAAAGCAGTGCTCCGGGGGGCGGGGCTGCGCACTCCGGTGGATTAAAGCAAGTTCAATATAACGCGGTTTCACCTATAACGCGGTAAGATTTTTTGGCTCCCGAGGACAGTGTTATATCAAGATAGAGGTGTACTTCATTTATAATTATTCTTTTCCAGAAAAACCATGAAAATTACTTTTAGATGTAACATATCTGATGTTTTAAGATGCTTCAGCTGCTACCACTGACAACTTCCTATTAAAAATGTGATTAAAATACCTTTTTTGCTGTAGAAAAACACTTACATTGGCACATAGAAGTGGCTGAGGCGATGATTTAAAGCCGCAGCTATGCCAGTGTCGAAGCTGAAGAAAAGATATTAAAAGACGGGGGGAGAAATGAATGAAAATGAAGTCAAGAATTGCTTTGATTTAACTTGTTTTTGTAACCTGATAAATATATCACTTATCTAGTTCCCATGTGTCAGATTTTCAAAGAGAATCATCTAATCTGTTGTGTGTAAATATCACCATGAATACACAAATGAGTTAGCTGTGTGCATTCATGGCTAGTTAGCTGCACAACTAGACATGCATGCAAAAAATATTCAGTTTGGACATACACTTAAAGTGTTTCCTTGGACAAATCAGGTATGCTTAATATATGCATACATATCTTTGAAAATCTGACTATGTATTAATAGTCCACATTTAAAAACTCTACTGTCAGACTTATTCAACAATAAATAGAAAGTTGTTTTAAATCTAGACACGTGAAGACTTGATTATACACTATATAACTCATTTTTAATTTCAGAAATCTCAAACTGAGTCAATAATGAGGGGCAATTGCTTTTCTTACTCTGAGTACAATGGTGGAGTTCTAGGACCTATCTTAATGATACTGTGCCTGTCCTCCAAAGATTCAAGGTATTTCAGTTTTAAATCTTCCTTGGATGTAGCATTTGGGGAACAGAAATAACAGCTCTTGATTACTTTTCATTCATTACTTACAGATTGTCATAAAAAGTTGATTTTCAACAAAATAGCATGGCCTATTACTGATGATGTTCAAAAGAACCATGTAACAAAATTTATGATGACAAACATCAAAAAGACTCAAAAATATCTTTGGATGCAAGAGACTCTTGTGCAGAAGTTCAGCACAAGGCCTACAAACTAGCTACGGCCCACTTACATCCTTAGAATAAGGCTTACGAGGGATTTAGCTAGTTCATAAGCCTAGTGCTGTAATGCTGCCTGGGGTGAATTTCATGTATTCTGCATAGCTGATGAAGGTGTTATTTAAACAGCAATAGCAATTACATTCAAATAAAATTTCAAGTGCTAATTTTCCAATTTTTGGTACCATACAATCATGCATCAAAAAGAATAGGCCTTTTAAAAATAAAAAGCTCACTTTGACAATTAAAGTAGTAATAAAGCTTCTTCACTTATGCCATCTTCCCTGAAAACAGATTAACTGTGACAGAGAGAACCTTAACCCCGAATGCCCTTTCAAGGTAAGTTTCAACATGCATTTTACAATGCTTTGTGCATTATTGTAGCTTGGTTTTCAATAACTTGATTTTGTTTATTTTATAGGCAGATGGTGTCCAAGATTTGTATGTAAAGAACAGGCCTCCCTCCTGCCCCAAGAACCAGCATTCCCCTTCATGTCCATCCAAAATCTCTCCAGAGTCGTCATTCTGTCAATCATTTCCACTCCATATTTTTTTTAAGCTCAAAACTCTCAGTGAAAATAGTAAAAGATATGCCACAAACAAAAGGAAGTGTGAAACCATACTAACAACATTGAGTAAGGATTTTCTATCTAAGGAAAATGTCTGCTGTCGTCAGTGAAATTTTGAGGTGGAAAAGAGAGAAAAAAGTTGATAGGCAAAGAAGCCTCCCGCGACCTGAGCTGACCTTCTGCCCAGGAAGAGGGAGGCAGTGGGGAACCCTTCACAGGAACACTGGTTCTTAAGGGGAGTGTGGTGTCAGTTATCTTCACAAATGCTAGACCACCTGCCTAGAAAGTAAACAAAAGAAAAAAAATACATTGAAGCACAAATATCCCTTTAAAATACATGTTGAAGCTTACCTAAAACCAGTATTCATAGTGACGTGTTTTCCCCAGAGAAATCAATGAGAAAGATTCTCTCCAGCACACAATCTGTTCAAGGGAAGATAGTAGCTTTCATTAAATAAGCTCAGAACTATCCACTGCCACAGGCATATTGAAACTTTCATGGGTGTTTGATATCTTGCCTATCTGTACAAGACAGAAAAACAGGTTCTCTTTAACCCTTGCAAGTATGTTACACTCTGACATATCAACTGCCTGGTATTATATCTGAAGGCACAGTAGTAGAGCATTTGTCTTGGTCGCTAGATCTTGTACCCATGGAATAAAGCAGCTAAAAAGAAAAAAGAGGTATTTTCAAGTTTTCCATGAAAGATTCTATTTATCTAGAAAAATAAAGAACAAGTTCTTGACCAATTTAAGAAACAGCTTCAGAAGACCTCAAAGCATCAAAAATTTGGATCTCTCTTTCTCTTTATATTATTTGATCCTCTTACCTATCCTAAAACAGTAGTGTTTTCTTGTTATGATTCTGGGATTTATTTTATGTCAACTATTTCATTTAGCATTACTCATTTGTATTTTCAATCATTCACACTCATGTATTCAGTGTGCCCTACATGCTCATATATTTCTATATGATATATATATTTCTATAATTTCATGTGAAAATTTTCAAGATTTTTACATTTTTCCTGTAAAATGTGAAGTTTTCAAAATATTCATGGTAAACTAAATGTCCCAATTTTTTCAGTTCAGTGAAAATAGCATAGTGGCTATAGAAGACTTTTTTTACTTTTTTCTTTATTAGTGAATGGGGTTTGGTTTAGTTAATTCAATATTTATGATACAGAAAAGTTGGCAAGTGTTACAAAACAGGGCAAGGTGTTCATTGTGTTACAAAACAGGGCAAGGAGAGCAAGGCAGAATTCATCCTTTTCACAGTAGAGTTGGATACTTAAGGGTAAGAGATCCAGTTTTCATATACCTGATTTGGTTGTGTAGTGCTGCTGAACTACTACTTACATTTATATGCAAGCTTGTGTTTTATACAATCAATCCTGTGCTAACACTTCTACAATAATGTGCTAACAATTGTTGTAACACAGCATTCATTGTAAAGAACACATTTCCAAACGATATCTTCTTACTCAGTTTTCAATTGGACTTTTTTCTTGGAATTTTTTTCTGGTTAAAAAACACATATTTGAGACATCTATTTAATATTTTAAAGGTTCTAGTTTTCATCTTATAAGTGACCCCGGAGTAACTGACTAAACTGGATAATCCTTGATTTCATCAAACTAATGCAAGATTAGCAAGATTTAAGGTAATGTTGGAATAAGATTCCACATAAAAGATAAATAAGCAGAAATAATAGGAACTGGAATGTCTTTCTTTCACCATGTTAACCACAAACTTTACATTAATTTGTATATTTCGCTCTAGTGTTCTCCGTATTGTAAGAGTTTTCCTCTAGATATCTGATACTTTTGCTAAAAGAAAGCCTCTTTTAAGAGCTGAGATTTTAATTAGATCATTAATGTCACTTTGGTTTCAGTTCTCAGTTTAATTAAATAAAAAATTGCAATTCCATAAGTACATACATTATGCACACTCACTGCATATGAACTAATGAGGAAGAATACAATTTTAATACAAGAACACTTTTCACTGGTCTATAATCTCTCCAAATACAAAGTATCATGGGTACAAAATGGCTGCCTTGAGCCAACAGAGGCAGTCTGAGCTAAAAGGTTGATTAAATAAATTCCCAAAGCAGAGCAACAAGAAAAACTGAAATCCTCAAATATAGTCATGCTGACAATGAAGTTTTATGATTCATTCAATTTTTGTTTTTATTTTTTGGTTAATACACTCTATTCCCAATAAACCCAAAGTTCTTATTATTTGCATACTTTGCTTTATCCAAGAGCTGTATCTATCTATAATCCCAGAAACACTATCAGCAAATGGGGGCGGGAGGGAGAGAGATTGAGTCTTTATTGTCCTACTGTTCCAGCCATAAAAGTCAATATTATCTTATTGAGTTTCTAAATGGCAGAAACACAAGAACCCTCATAGAGAATATTTATTCTCGTTCCTTACTTTGCAGCAATGTGAGAAGATCTGACATATGTATTCTTGTGTATATCGAGACCTACTAAGCAGTGCCATTAGGTGGGGGATAACTGTAGCATCCTAGAAAAAGTCAGAAAAGAAAACAATATTAAAACTAGAAATTTCAGCACCGTTAGTCAGCGATTTGTAACTAACAAGCTGCATCCTAAGCTCTGTATTTTGGAGACAAAAATCCCTCAGTGGCATTCTTCTCCCAGAACCGTAATTTACTTACCTTCTAATTGGTTATCTCTTAATTCTGAGAGGGTGGGAATGGAGGGAGTATAGGAAGTGAGGTACCAGTATAGACAGTGGATTTTTTCATCCTCCCACCAGCAGTTGGAGACAAGACATCAAAAGAATTTAGTGATACTGGCCTTCCATCTGAACAATCCAATTCAAGAGTTTCCTTTAGTACTGACATAGCACATGCACACACACTCATAGTGGGAAAAACTAAACAAAGAGTAATCAGAAGAGAAATCAGAGAGAGAAGGGAGATCACCTCGCTACCTGTTCCTCATTGTTTGGTTCTGTTAAGAATCCAATCCTGTTTCTTAAGATCATTATAGTAAGTGAGAAATACCTAAATAGTGTTATAAATCAATTAAAGCTTTAAGATATCTAACATATATTTTATCAGAAGCCAGCTACAAGTGGAGATGCCACTAGAAGCAGTGGAAGATTAGCAGTTTTTGTGAACTCCGGAAGCCAGCCTCAAATGAATCATCTCTGAGACAAAGGTTTGGTTACTTAAGCAGAGGAGACTAAATATCAAAAATCCCCTTTAATAGGTTGCGTCTATGTTGACTATGACAGGTAAACTGAGCCCTTCACCTGGGGAGAGCTGGAGTCAGTAAGAACTGTTGTGATGATCAGATAGTTTTTTTAGGATGTTATTTTCCAACTACCCTATCTGTTATGTTATGGCAATAGAGAAAGTAACAGTAACTGGATACAGGTTTATGCTGCCAGGCCCTCAGTGTCACCTGTACATTAGCAAACAAAAATTCAATTAAAAAAGAAAAAAATTAAAACAACTTAACAAAGCTCTCCTATTATCTCTCTCTATTTCCACAGAATATTTTAATGAGAAAAACGTTTAATGAACGGACACTCAGATGGTATAAAACACTCAGTTTTAGGTTGTTAGGCACTGTTAAAAGTCTAATCCAGGGGTAGGCAACCTATGGCATGTGTGCCAAAGGCGGAACGCGAGCGGAGTTTCAGTGGCACTCACACTGCCCGGGTCCTGGCCACCGGTCCGGGGGGGCTCTGCATTTTAATTTAATTTTAAATGAAGCTTCTTAAACATTTTAAAAACCTTATTTACTTTACATACAACAACAATTTAGTTATATATTATAGACTTATAGAAAGAGACCTTCTAAAAATGTTAAAATGTATTACTGGCACACGAAACCTTAACATAGAGTGAATAAATGAAGACTCGGCACACCACCTCTGAAAGGTTGCTGACCCCTGGTCTAATCCTATCTCTTCTTAACAGAAAACAGGAGACACATATACAAAATTTTGGGGATCGGGGAAAGAACAGCAAAAGAATAAATACAGCTTCTGTCTCTTCTGCTTGCTGTTTAATTGCTGGAAAGTGTCAGCACTTAGTACAGGACCTTATTAAGCACTCCAGAACCTACCGTACTCAGGCTATTGCTTTCAGCTTGCCTCTCTGGTCACAGCAATATTGCAAGGTTAGTTTTGTCTGGCTGGCTAAGTCAGACCCTCATTAAATAAAAGGAAAAAAGAAAAATACAAGAGAAGAAGGGGAGGAGGGATAGCTCAGTGGTTTGAGCATTGGCCTACTAAACCCAGGGTTGTGAGTTCAATCCTTGAGGGGGCCATTTAGGGATTTGGGGCAAAAATCTATCTGGGGATTGGTCCTGCTTTGAGCAAGGGGTTGGTCTAGATGATGTCCTGAAGTCCCTTCCAAGCCTAATATTCTATGATTCTAAGAGGGTGAGGAGAACATGACGGAAGGAGCTGCGACAGATTATTAAATAGCATCTCCACATCAAACACTGAGATGTGATCATTTTATCAACGCTATGGGTATGCCTACAATGCAAAAAACTTCCTGCAGCAGCAAGTCTCATTGTCCAGTCAACTGACTGAGGCTCATGCTGCTGGGCTAAAAATAGCAGTGTAGATGCTCCTGCTCGGACTGGAGCACAGGATCTGAGACCCACCCCCCTCCCCAAATTTTGGATCCTGGGCTCCAGCCTGATCAGGAACTTCTAAACTGCTATTTTTAGCCCTGCAGCATGAGACCAACTCAATTGATCCAGGCTCTGCGACTCGCTGCTGCAGGACTATTGTTTTGTTTCTTGTCACTTAGATGTACCTTATAGGTATGTCTATATTGCAATTATACATCCATGGCTGGCTCATGCTACCTGACTCAGGCTTGTGGGGCTTGGGCTAAGGGGCTGTTTAAATGTGGTGTGGATGTTCAGGCTTGGGCTGGAGCCCAGGCTCTGGGTCCCCGCAAGAAGGGAGGGTCCCAGAGCTCAGACAGAGCATTTACACAGCAATTAAGCAGCCCCTCAGACTCAGCCCTGCAAGCCTGAGTCAGCTGGCACAGGCCAGCCATGTGTTTTTGATTGCAGCATAGACATGCCCTATGTGACTTGGTCAGTGAGGTGAAGTTATTGTTTACTGAGTTATAAAACTTTCCTGTATGAATCCATTAATATAACTTAATAGGGGGCTGTGGAAAACAACACAATAGCTATAGATAAGCAACCCCCCAGCAAACACTGGGAGGCAATTACAGGCCAATGGCATACTTCCATGCTCAAAGCGACAACTCTTCTGCCAATGCTGGGAACTAACAAATCAAAGGGCTATAAATAGTTAAATGCCCTGGTCATGAAAGGAAAAGAGGGTCAATCAGGAGCTGTCCAGAGTGACAGGTTGACAGAGTAAAACTGCAGAGGGAATCTGAAGAAGTTGGGCCTTCCCCCAGATCCAGGCAATGTAAGCAATAGGGAGACACCGGTTTTCTCTTAAATGCTTTGGTTCTTAGTAAATACTTCGCTTTAAAAAAAAGTATTTAAGCAAAGGCTGTTTGGTCACTGGTTACCACTACCACTGCTCCCAGAGGGAACAAAGCTACAGGCATTGAAGGTAAGTCAGGCCTGCTGAGGTACTCACAATTCATCACAGGGGACTGCAACCCAGAGCCTTGCCTAAGAGTGGGAGAATCCTGTAATTCTACCCAAAGAGAGGCAATGGCTAGAGGCATGAGAGGGGTGCACTCAAAGAGACCAGGAGGGGTCTGAGTTGCAGTTCACCCTTTAACTATGACAGGAGTAATAGCAGGAACTTTAGTTTCCCATCTCAGAAGTTGCTCAGAACACAACTATGGAGATGGTACTATTGACTGTCCCCCCATCCAACATTTTTGTTTAGTCAGAACATCTTTCAGCACCAGGAAAAGAAGGCCCAACGGTATGACCATAAATCCCTGAGGCCCAGTAGGTTTGCAACAGTGTTGAAAGTCTCAGCCAAGAGTGAGATGCAGTATAGTTCTCTCTACCAAACATTAGCTTGCTGCCATGGATAAGCAAACTCGACAAGTGCTGCCCAGAAAAGCAACATCCAAAAGGAGTAGCAACCAAAACAAGTGCCAGATGGTCCATACCTGCATGCTTGCTCTCATCTTAAGAACACTTTTGCCTGTGGCTACAATTCTGCAAATTCACCAGGCTTGAAAGCCCGAGTGACTCTTCTTTTAGTTCAAAAAACTCAATTTACATAATTTCTTAGCCGTCATTGTGTTTTCTTGCAACAGCTTTACATAACATGTATATAGGTTAAAATCATATCCTGCCACCTTTCACCCACCTTTGGCAATTTAAGATTTCAAGCCACATTAAGGTTCAACACAACAGAACCACATATTAATTGACTTTTCTGGTACCTTATGAAACCACCATCAGCTGAGGTTCTTGCAGTTGTGTCAGGAAAAAGGTAATAGACTTCTGTAAAACATTTGTTTTGGTAACTCATGACATTTTGGCTAAAAAACTAGAAAGATATAAAATTAATATGGCACACATTAAAAGGGTTAAGAGCTGTCTAATTGAGAGCTCTCAAAATGCAAATGGGTGTTTCTAGTGGGGTTCTGCAGGGATTGGTTCTTGGCCCTATACTTTTTTACATTTTTATCAATGACCTGGAAGAAAATAAAATCACTGATAAAAGTTTGTAGATATCACAAACATTGGTGGAGTGGTAAATAATGAAGAGGACAGATCACTCATACACAGCGATCTTGGATCACTCTGTAAGCTGGATGCAAGCAAACAGTATATGTTCTAATATAGGTAAATGTAAATGTATATGTTTACAGCCTACATTCTTTGTTGCTATTTACAGGATAGGGGCTCTATCCTTAGAAGCAATGACTGAAAAAGGTTTGGGGGTTGTGATGGATAATCAGCTGAACATGAGCTCCCCTAAGATACTGTGGCCAAAAGAGCTAATGCGATCCTTGTTTGCATAAATGGGCATCTTGAGCCGGAATAGAGAAGTTATTTTACTCCCGCATTTGGCACTGGTGCAATAGCTGCTGAAATACTGTGTCCAGTTCTGGTGGCCACAATTCAAGAAGGCTGTTGATAAATTGGAGAGGACTCAAGAGAATGACGAAAGGATTAGAAACATGACTTATAGTGATAGACTGAAGGAGCTCAATCTATTTAGCTTATGAAAGAGAAGGTTAAGGAGTGACTTGAGTACAATCTACACATCCCTATATGGGGAACAAATATTTAATAATGGGCTCTTCCATCAAATCAGAGATAGGAATAATATGATCTAATGCCTGGAACTTGAAGCTACAAAAATTCAGACTGGAAATAAGGCATGCATTTTTAACAGTGAGAGTAATTAATTACCGGAAGAATTTACCAAGGAGTGTGGTGGATTCTCCATCACTGGCAAGTTTTAGATCAAGACTGGATATTTTTCTAAAAGATCTGCTCTAGGAATTATTTTGGGAAGTTCTATGTCCTGTGTTATTCAAGAGGTCAGACTAGATGATCACAATGGTCCCT